AGAGGCTGTGAGTTCAATTCTAGATAGCGGCAGATATTTCTCTCTCTCTGGATGCAATGATTAATTGTCTACTGTGAACTCCACATAGGCATCAGGAAGGACATCCAGCCAGTTAATGCTCAAGCGCCATTCAGTTGCCAGGACTCCACCTCAATGCAAGGGATTACAAGAAGATAAATGAAAAAAGAAATAGGATGGTGGCAATGTGAACTTAGATTTTTAAATAAGTAGAAAATTGTGTATGAAGTATTAATAGAAAAGCTGTGGTTTTCTTCATAAAACCATTCATGCCAGCATAACATTATTCTTGTTTGCTTGCTTGGCTATTTTAAAAGCTTTCTATATTTGACTCCTGGAGTTTATTGAATGTGAATATTAAGCCAAATAGCAGGGACGACACATGCAGCCATATCATGAATCCAGGAGAATTTGGCTGATTGAAGTACAGATATATTTCTCTCAGATAAAATGGGAAACGGTGCTTTTTAGCACATCTTTGAGGACCTCCTAGACCCATGATGTCAAACCTGTGGTACGCATGCCCAAAGTGGCACATGAAGCCATGTTGCCCAGCACACGCGCCCTTGTCTGTTTGTCTTCCGGGTTTGTGGCACGCATGCGTGTGTGATGATCAGCTGCCCTTTGTGCCGAAAACTGGTGTGCACATGCGTGCTGGCCAGCTGATTGTTGGGCACGCATGTGCACACCAGTATTCGGTACAAAGGTCAGCTGATCATCATACATGCATGCGTGCCACAAACCCAGAAGTCAAACAGACAAGGGCGCTAAAAGCTAGAAGTTTGGCTTTTCCGGAGTGTGGCCCTGACGAGCACATGCGTGCGCGTGCGATGTTTCCGCACAACCTTTTTGGCACTCGGTGCTGAAAAGGTTCCCCATCACGAACCGTTCGTGAATAAAATTCACAAATTCACTTTTGTGAATTTTAAAGGAACAATAGCAGTCTTAAAAATAGAGGAGGGGAAAATAAGGCACATTATGAGCTGCAGAACTCACACAATAGAATTCTTGTTAAAATTTAAAGGGGCTGAATTGTGAAGTATACTTTCTGGAAAATAAATCCTTCTGGCGAGAAAATGGATTGGACAGAATAATTCGATTCTGAAAAATCAGAACATTCCGTAAACCTATGTTTCATGTACAAAATATATTGAGATTTATTTTGTGTCTTGGGGAAGCAGCACCAAGGGAGGTTCATCCAACCTCATTGTACACAAGTTGTTCATTGACAATAAAGGCTTGAATTGAATTTGAATTGAATTGTATATAGGATATACTAAAGCCATGAATATTTCTGGAAAATCTTTGTCCTGATGTTTTGTAATGTATTGCTTCCTCTTCAGAGTTTGGTTTTCATTTTTAAAGCTGATCATTGTTAAGTTTACAGCTCTACTTTGTTTGTATCAATTAAGATTCAGAATTCAGTCTCTCTTTTCATAATAATAGTATTTATTATTGTTGTTGTTGTTCTTGTGTTCCTGCAGCTTTGTTATCAATAATAACAGAAGATCATCCCATCTAAATGAAGCACACTATTACTATCATCCCATCTAAATGAAGCACACTAAATATTACTATTTCTGATGGAGAGATACAGCAGTAACATTTAATATGTTTGTCTGTTGTAGGCCATTTCATTCCTGACACCCCTGGCTGTCATTTTTGTGGTGAAAATAATCCGGCGCACAGACAAGACTGAAATTAAAGAAGCTTTGCTAGGTATGCCAAGAATAATATTAAATTCTGTGAAATTGTTTTCTTCCAGAAATGTTGGAAGAGTAAAAAAAAACTTCTTTTCAAAAGCTTGGTATCTGTATTGGTAAATAATTGAAGAATATTGTTATCAACATCATCATCTCTTATGGCCTTTAGTTCCCCCTCATTTTTACAGTTACTAGGGCCGTGATGGCAAAGCTATGGCATGCATGCCACAACGTGGCATGCAGAACCCTCTCTATGGGGACGTGTACCATCGCCACCTTTCCGATGCATGCTGGCCAGCTCGTCTTCATGCTTGCCGGAAACCCAAAGATTAGCTGGCCATGCGAATGCACAGGTGCGTGCGAAAACCAGCTGGCTGGTGCTGGCTGGTTCCGGCACTCTGGCCCGTGTACACACGTATGTTCCAGTTCGGACATTCAATGCTGAAAAGGTTCATCATCACTCTACTAGGGTTCTTCTCCTTTGCATTGATTCTTCTAAAGTTGTCGCAATGTATTGATAGAGTAATATGCAAACAATATGTTCTATACAAATCAACTAAAGATGTCCCTCCCTTGAGAAAAAAATAAATAGAGTTATCTATTAACTAGAGAAAAAGAAGACAGTAGGGAAGAAAAAGATAGTAATAATTAAGTAGGGGTATTGAGTTCAGAGGGGGATGCAATGGCTCAGTGGCTAAGATGCTGAGCTTGTCGATCAGAAGGTCGGCAGTTCAGCGGTTTGAATCCCTAGTGCCATGTAATGGAGTGAGCTCCTGTTACTTGTCCCAGATTCTGCCAACCTATCAGTTCTAAAGCACGTAAAAATACAAGTAGAAAAATAGGAACCACCTTTGGTGGGGAGGTAACAGTGTTTCCATGCGCCTTCGGCATTTAGTCATGCCGGCCACATGAACACGGAGACATCTTTGGACACGCTGNTTTTTTTTTTCTATATCTATTTGCATTTTCTGGGAAATGTAAAAGCAGGGTGTGAAAGCTTAGAGCCTTTTCCATTGAAAGAAAGGAAAAAAATGGACATGCTTTTTGGACACAGGGCACTGATTGACACTTAATTGCAAAACCAAAAAGCATTTTGAAAGCCGCAGCACATCCTACAATAACCCTGGCTGAGCAGAGCAATCCATGGTGCAGCGTTTTATTACAGGCCCCCATGTACTATAGTTAAAAATAATTGCTATTCTTACCCTCCATTAATTTGTTCTCTTTTCAAGCTATGAAAGCCAAAGGCCTTATTCACATTTGAATTCATCCCATTTTATTTGTTTGCACCCATTAATAATATATGACACAGTTTCTAAGTCTTGGCGTTATGGATACTTTCATTTCTGGGTATCTTGCAGCTATGTTAGATTATAAGATCTGAGAACCCAGTAGGGGATTTGATCATACAATCTAAAGAGAAGCCTATGTGATATGTTTGCAAAAATGGATCGGAGAGATGATGAAATTTAACTTTGCTTTCATTTACAGAGGGAAAATGAGAAAAAAAAAATCATCAGGTAGAGACATACATAGGCTCTACCTGAAATTGAGTAACATTGACTGCTGTTGGCCACAAGGAAATTGTCTGGCTGAATTAGTGAAGATATTGAAATAGTATACACAATGCATTTTCCAGACCTTTTTAATTAACTTCTGACATTTTAAAAACGCTCACAATAATTTGAGTTTCTCTGCTGCTTATCTTTCTATTACAAGTAATCAGAAAGCAACATGCTAGAAAAGTCTCACAATTTTCTCCTAGCTATAATATTTTCCTGGCTGGGTTCAGGGTCCAATTGATAAGTGTTAATAAGCGCTTGCAAGTCATTTTTGAACTGACAACATTTCTCCTAAGTTTGGTGTTTTTTTCACATCATTCTTTCCTTTTGTGTAAGCTATTCTGTCATTTATTTATTTATTTATTCATTTATTTATTTATTCATTCATTCGTTCATTTAGTGTACAGCATATTTTCCTGTATTTGCTAAACATACTAGTAATGGTAATGAGTATCAATTCTTGGGATGAGAAGAAGAATAGGAAGTAAATTACAATGTATGCATAACAGAGGTGGTCAGTGGTGGGTTTCAAAAATTGTTTGAACTTACTCTGTGGGTGTGGCCTCCTTTGTGGGAGTGGCTTGCCGCCCATGTG